TCAGGGGCCCAAGTATGAATGTTTTATTCACAGTCAACATAATCTTAATCATTTATTAATTTTTCTTTCTTAGTCCTCGGGTCTGCCAGTAGATTTTTAGTTCTCTGAGAGAAGACATTTCTATTTTACTCCTTTTCCATGCCTATCATGAATTATGGCACTGCGGCTAAGGGCATACATATGTATTTATAGCTCTACCTCTATACTGATATCTCTAGATAGATATTTATTTAGATACATAGAGGTAAACATTGAATACTTTCACTTTGTCACCATGGATGGTTCCAAGCAGAGTTTTCAGTCTATCACAAGGATGCGAATGGAAGAAGTAAAAGGAATCAAGAGCATTATTCTTTCATACACTGCAAAGAATTTCCAAAGGTGCATTCTAAACAAATTCAAGGAAAGCCTTTGCAAAGTACATGCTGACATACATGGATAGATACACTGTATGTTGTGTTAATTCAGTAATCTGCTTTCATCGCTGCTCTAGCTGCTGTGATCTTAGGTAAGTTCAGAGTTCTAGTGATGAAAAGTTATTCAAGTTTTAATGTGTTTCTATTACCAGTTTTTTCACAATGTTTTGTTTTTAGAGCAGAGTAACAAAGTGTTTTGCAAGGATCAGTGAGAGCAGAGAGTGGTGGGTGAAAACTTTCAAACTAACAATCAGGGTTAACCATCACATTGATTTAATCACCTGTGGCCAACGATTAAACCAGTCATGGCAGTAAGATCACCTCTTTAAAAATCCCAAAAAGTAAAGTTCAGAGATCTTCCAAGAGTTGAACACCTTGAGGTGGTGCCCCCAAGAGGGAGAAGAAGGAAGTGTCACATTCTTCCACGTGGTGTTCTGGAGTGGTTACCCTTTACAAAAACTGGTGACCTAGGCAGTAAACTGTGTTCTTTGAGCCATCCTACAAATTATCAGGTCTGAGGAAGGAGTTGTAGGAACCTCTGATTTACAGTCAAGTCAGACAGAATTTGTGGGAAACCTAGAAACCCACCAGACAGCACTGGTGTCTGAAGCAGAGTCAGTCTTTTGATCCTGAGCTTTTCAACTGGAAAGTCTGTATTATCTCTAGGTAGGTAGCATCAGACTTGAATTAAATTGTAGGACACAGTCCTGTTACCTATAGGAAACTATAGAATTGTTTAGTGTGCAGCAAATCAAAATCTGGTGCCAAAGTAGCTAACGTATTAGGACAGTAAGAGTTAACAAGAGTTTTTCTTCTAGCTCTGAGCTAATGAAGCCAATCCTCAGTTTGATTTTTCAAGACAAGTTGGATACTTGTCACAGTTTAGATCTCAGATGTCCCCCCAAAAATTCACACAGAAGTGGGGCTTTTAGAAGTAACTGACCAGGTGATCTCTAACCTAATCATTGCATTAATCTATTGATGAGATCATAATTTAATGGCAATGCTGGGAAGTGGTGGAAACGGGAGATGAGGATGACTTGAAAGGAGTGGACACTACAGGCATGACAGTGGCATGGTATCTGGTTCTTGCCTCTCCTCTGGCTTTTCCATCTCTCTCTTCTGAGCTGCCATGGTGTGAGCAGCTTTCCTCTTCAATGTCCTTCTGCCAAGGTGCTTCTGCCTCCCTGCATCCCTAGAAGCAATGGAGCCATGTGACGTGGACTGAGACCTCTGGGACCAGGAACCAAGATAAATCTTTGAGTTGTTTATGTCAGGTATTTTGTCAAAACAAGAAAAAGCTGACTAACCACAGTACTACTACATTGTGTTTCACAGCTACAAGATGATCCACTCCAGCCTTCTGTCCTATAAGCCATTGTAAGATACATGAAGGAGGTATTCCAGAAAAACAATTCCTCACCTCTGCACAGCCTAAAAACTCACACTGACTAATGGCATCTGGTTTTATGAACCCAAGGAAGCATTGGGCTTGCTGCCAAGAGCGAGACGACCATGGAACCAGAGTCTGCAGTCCCAGAGATGCCTTTCCTCTCAGGCTTCTGGCTTCCTTGTATGTTAGATAAGGAATCCACAGAGTGCCCTTCCATTCTAACTGGTCATCTCACAGGTTGCATTCATGTTCACATTTGCAATAATCCCCTACCCCACCATGAGCGCTTCTTATCTAAAAACATAGCTATATCTTCCCAGAAGGCCCTTTCTCTATGTGAGCAATTTCAATGAAATATCTTGAAATATCCTTTCATCTTCTTGACTATTGGAACTACAAAAATCTTTGGCAAGAAAATCCAGCCCTTTCATTTGAAAAATGAAACACTGAAGCTTAGTAATTTTGTGCCTTGCTCGAGGTCACAGCAGCAGTTCAGCAAGGAGCTGTGCCCGGGGCTCCCAGCTCCTTGTCCAGTGCGTTCTCCAGTTACACCTGACCCTGGCTTCACACATGAAAGCCCAAGTGAAAGCTCTGCAAATCACTTTTAACTTTAGATGGCAGCTCTTAATTGATATGCCACAGCCAGAAAAAGATAAGCATTTTTAAGAAGTCAGAACAACTGTAACAGCAGTCCCCTCCCCCACTTTAGCTATTTAAGGCAAATTACGTCAGTTGGCTGTGTGCCTGATAGGAAAAGGTACCCATTTCCGGCATCAGCTGAGAATTGCCTGTTGGGCTGAGACACTTATAAGCTCATAGTCTTTCCCTAGGAAAATGCATTGTGTGTGTCATTAAGGCTATTTTTAGCCTTGCTGCCTTGAATTGAATGTAAACCAGCACTGGTGATACTGAATTTAAGTGTGATTTCAGGGAAGGATGGAGAAAGCATAGCATTTTTAGGATTTAGATCATGGCAACATGCTTTCAAAGGCAGTGATAAATCCATAGACTTTTTTGAGACTTTCTAGAAGTCCTTTGAATAATAAATATTACCTTTCCACTCATCAGTTGATGTTATGTTAAGGAGAAATAATTCTGCTGGAAACATGCACTGATTGTCATTTCACATACCATGCAATACTGCTGGGTATATGTCTGTCCAAAAACCTGTGGCCCTCTTGGAAGGTGGTGGGAGGTGTAAGAGGTGGGGAGGGAGGGCGGTCATGGCACCAGCACTGAATTCTCATGGCCGTTACCCAACTGTGCTCAGCACTTTTTGTTTAAGGATTCAGGAGAGCATTATGTATGCTTCCATGGAATTTTTTTTTTTTTGAGACACTCTCTACACTATGAGTTCAAGCTGACCGTCAGCTGAATTTGTAGCCCAGATTGGCCTGGAACTGGCAACGATTCTCTTGCCTCAACTACCCAAGTGCAGAAATTACAGATGTGCACCACCATGCCTGGCCCACCAAAACACAAAATGTATTTGTTAACAGCAGTCAAGACCAATTATCTATAAATCTCATTTCCAAAGCACCTAAATGAAATCTTGTCTACCTCAAGCTTGGCTATACACTATCTTTAGAACTTGCATTATTATTTTATTTTATTGGCACAAAGAATTGAAGCCAGTGTCTTCACACTGAGATACATCCCTAGCCTTTTTTATTTTTTATTTGCTTGAGACAGGGTATTGCTAAATTGCCCAGGCTAGGTTCAGACTTAGAATCTTCTTGGCTCTGCCTTGCAGAGCACTGAGATTACAGGTGTGCACACCATACCTTGCTTTTTCTTTTCTTTTTGTTTCTTCTGAGTTCTGGGGATCAAACCCACAGCCTTGCATTCTACCAACAAATTACACCCCAACCCAGAAAATCTGATGCTCAGTCCTCTTGCCTACAGATTGATTTAGTGTTTGAGGTGAGTTCATATTAAAGGTATCTTGCTTGCTGATTTATCCGTTCCACATCCAGAACCTGCTTTCAGGGCTCATACCTTGTGAATTCATTCACTCCTTTCATTACTCAAAAAAAAAAGAAAACATGCTGGTGGGCATTAACAGTAGGGAATTATACAGTAGGCAGAGATTCAAAGATAAACATGTAGCCAAGAATGGTAATGCAGTCCTGTAACCCCAGCAACTTGGAGACTTGGGTGGGAGAATCACAAGTTGAAGGCCAGCATGGGCAAATTAGTGAGACTCCATCTCAAAGTAAATGATGATGATGATGATAGCTAGGGTTGTACCTCAGTGATACAGTGCCCCTGGGTCCAATTCCCAGGACAGCCAAAAAGAAAAAGACAAGAACATATAAAACTTTGCATCTCAAGAAAAAGACAGTTTTGCAGCAGAGAGAGATATACAAACAACAGCAATGCACTCTAAGTACTGTAGTTCTTAACTACAGAACTAAGAACTAATGGAAAAGCTACAAGGAAGGGACTAATCCACAGTGCCTATAGAAGGATTGCGAGACCTCAGCAGCAGAAGGGAGCAATGGCCACCTGTAAAGAAGCCACACTGACTCCATTTTGTCCTGCACACATCTGGTTGATGGCGTTTTGGTAGAAGGTGCAGACCTTCAAACATTCCCCCACCAAGGTAAAAACAGGAGGTCCTGTAAGGACAAGCAGCAAACAAATTACATAACCTAAGTATGCGCAATATGTTTCTTTGTTCTTTATTTCAATAACGGCTGCTGGTTTACACTGGCATGACCATCCCTTCCCTCAATCCAAAGGATCTCAGCAGCTGGCTGGAGCATATAAGCTACTGCTCTCCACACTTATAGTACCTCAGTGGGCTGCCATCAACTACCTTTTAGAAGCCATTTTAGGGACAGCTCAACTGATCTGAGACTCTGAGCAGCTGCAGGTTGGCTTCATCTCAGTCCTCGTAGTGTTGAAATCCCACAGTGGCTGGGTGAGGGAGAAATGCAGGAGGTGTCCAGGGTCAGTGAGCCAAAGTCAGCCTGGTGAGACACATCCAGTGTGTCCTGGGCTGAACAGTTCAGTCAGCTCCACAGCCAGAGGCTGGGATCAGCCTAACCTTCTGTGGAGTTGAAAACACCAGAATCAGCACTCAGCCCTGATCCTATTGATATAGGGAATGAAATTCCCAGCCCACTATGTCCAGTGTGAGTTCATGTCCTCTAAAATCAAAGAATGCATTTTAGGAACCACAGAGGTTAAGAGTAGAATACATTTATTGAGAGAAAACAAGCTTCTGTCTGAGAGAGAGACAAAAGCGGGTTGCCAGGGACTCTATATTTTCCAGACAGTTCTAGGAAATCATGGCATACAAAGGGTTTAACATGGGGAAACTGGGTACTCACAAGGCAGATGGGCATAAGGTGGTACAAAACTAAGGCTAACCAATAAGATTAATAGTTCAGGTAAAATTGATTAAAGTGGGGACAAAACGGGAAGGGAATCACTTAGAATGCAGGAATTCTTAGAGAGCAGTGAATCTTCCCTAAAGGTTTGGAATGTCACTCCTTACTTCCTCAGCATGCTGGGGAACTCTTTAGAACTTCACTCCTTAGGATATGGATGTATTTGTATGGTCTTTTATCTTGAGGCTTGGCCCACAGCAGCAGGTGCTTGTCTTCCCCTTAGTTGCAAGGTATCTGAGCTTCTGCACTGGCTCCTTTGAGGACCTAGCCCTGTCTCACTTCCTGTAGTATTTCTAACTAACTCAGCTGCTTATAACAGTCCCCTCTCTGAAGAAGTAACAAGAACTGCCATGAGGGTGTCATGGGTGATGACCGATCTGGCTTCTTCAGGCTGAAGAGGGTTGTAGTGGTGACCAGCAGTCAGAGATACTTCTGCAGAGATCCTGTCTAGAGGCCCTCAATAGATACCAGGCATTTTCATCATGGGTAGGCATACAGCTCTAAGTCTGGAGGAGACAAAGACAAAGAAACAGTTGAGTATGTATGGGGCAAAGAATAAAACCAGTAGAACAATTATGAGTATAGGTAACAAAGATTTCCACCAATAGGAACTAGTAATAGATTTCCATAAGAAGGAGAAAGACAAGGTCCAGGAGTCTTAAGAACCTTACATATTGTTAACTTGGTATCTAATGTCTTGAATAGCTACTGAGATATTAGCAGAAGAGTCAGGAGTATATATACACAGCATTCAGTTTTTACAATGGCACAAATGCCTCTGTGTGCTGCTGTTAGAATGTCTAATGTCATCTGAGTTTGAAGGACAGCCTGTCTCATTATTTTTTTTTTTCCTTATTTAAGAGGGACCAGCAGCAGTGTCATTTAAGGCCCACTCGGTATAGTTAGTCAAGGCCTCAGTACATTGCATGATGTCTTCTAATCCTAGGGAAGGGATAAACACAGAGGCCAAATGATCATACCAGTGGAACACACTTCTGTACCTTCGATGTTGTACGTGGGTAAATTTGCCGGTTTTTCGACATTTTTGATACTCCTGCCTTGTAACCATGCAAATCCTAGTGTGCGTCTGCCTATCCATCCAGAGCCCAGGCAGGGCCACAGATAGGCTCCACAAGACCAATGAGTGCCATTCGGGGCTCCCCATTTGATTCCAGGGCCATTAAACCAGTCTGTTGCAAACCAGTCATTAGCCTGAAAAGTTACTTGTGTGTCCACATTGTTCAAGGGCTGTCCACCCCAGGTGGGTAGTGGCATTAGGCCAACCAGAATAAAAGTGGTGTTTTTGTTCCCAACATAAGGGGGATTTTCTACTGAGATATCCTATGGTGGGAGTTAATCATAGATACTCATCCCATATTTGAAAATAGCCATATTGATATCTATGGTTGTTGGCCCTTAGGATAGGACCTTTCTTTTTATTTACCAGGGGCCTTACAGGCCTGTAGAGAGGCTCCAGTGGCATTATAAGAAAAAAATCTGATTATGTCCAGGATCATTAGCAATGTAATTTACAGGATCATTAAGAATATAATATTCAGAGGCCATTTTATTACTATGCAATTGTGGGCTGAACTATGAATACTGAACTTCTTTGTTATCTCATTACTATAGTCCTGTAATTTATTCCAATCACATCCTTGAAGTGGAGACACCCACCAAGGAAGTCCTGATGTACTGGACAAGGGCAGTGAGCCACATATCCTGCAAGAGGTGTGTTGTAATGATTTTGCATATGCTTGTGCCCACATTAAAAAGGAGTTGCATCCTCCTTTCAGTGGTGAAGGGAACAGTAAAAGGGCTAATAGTAGCCTTACTTACCTGAAGTCTTTGTTTTCTTCTTGAAGAGGAATCTTAGGTCTTCTGTGCGTTCACAGGAGTATGTGGGTGGTTGTTCACATCCAGTGATAGTCTCAAGTTTCCAGGGTTTGTGTCAGGTGTGATGCATCCGAGTGTCCAGGCCTCTTGTCTTCAGCATGGAAGAAGTCGACAGGATCACAGTGTAAGGTCCTTCCCAATGGCTGATGAGGGAGGGGATTTTACCAGTACTAAATCTCCAGGGTGGAAGATAGGTTTTCCTTTCTCTGTAGGCTGAGCTTCTGTAAGCTCTTGAAGAGTTTGCTGGAATTTAGCCAATGAGGTGATGTCTTTTTATAAGGCATCTGTTTCTCTGACAAAGAGAAAATCATCAGTGAGGAAAGGGCATCCATAAGGCATTTCAAGCGGACTGAGGCCTAGGTTTTGAGGTGTATTTGTTATTTTGATAAGAGGTAAAGGTAGGATGAATCTGAACCCTGGTGGGGCCTTGGGCTGAGAGGGCAGTCTGACATCCAGTGGTCACGTCTGCAGTCAGGGCATGGCCCAGGGGGCTTTTGAGTGCAGTCCCTCTTAAGGTCACCTGGCTTGTGGCAGTGATGGCAGGTGAAAGTCATCGTTGAGCTATTCTTGGAGACCTGAGAATCAGACTTAGGGTCTGTTTCTCTTAATGCTGTGCAAAAGCAGCTGCTTTTTCTCAGTCTCTTTGTTTTCTCTCTTTGACCTTCCTCTCATCACAGTTATAAAATACTGAGGAGGCAACTTTTACTAAAGTATCAAGTGAGCTGGGGGTTTAGCTCAGTAGCAAAATCACTTGCCTGTCAAATGTGTGTTGTGTTTGATCCACAAACTCCAACACACACAAAATGAATGAATAAATAAAGTATCAAGTGGACTATCTGGAGGAAAAGCCATCTTTTGTAGCTTTTTTCTAATAGCTGAGGCTGACTGTGTAATAAACTTATCTTTAAGGATAATTTGTCCCTCTATTGAATCAGAATCTAAAGAAGTATGCTTTATCAATGCCTCTCATAATCCATCTAAGGAGGCAGAAAATTGTTCCTTCTTTTCTTATTGAATAACTGATAACTTAAAATAATTGAATGGTTTAGTTCTCACTCTTCTTCAGCCTTCAAGAACACATGTCTGGAAATGATTTCTAATCCAATCACTCACCTGGTTGTGGGCCCAGTAAGAGTCTTGCATAGGGACTGTTTGTGATCCAGTGGGAACACAGCTTTTGCAAACTCCAACTGCACTGTGTCGCTGGTCCAGGACAAAATAAATCAGTGCTGCTTTTTTAAAATAAAAACACATCTTGTCCATTTTTGAACTCGAGTTTGGGCTTTGGGGGCTCGTTTGTGGATTACAAGATTTAATGGCATATTTTTATTATTTTATTCTTGCACAAGTTAAATTTAAACTAGTTGCTAAAGTTATTTCCCTTTATCTTCTGGCCTTCTAAAATTGACAATATGGTATTCATATCCAAAGGCAATAGCAGCCTGTAATGCTGCGTGTCTCTCACTAGAAATGAATGTCTGATTTAAGAGTAACACTACATCTTTCCAATCTACTTAATATGCCTGAGTAAGTCCTCTAAGGACCTGAATGTACTTGTCAGGCTCATCTGAAAATTTCCCAAGATCTAATTTTATTTGTTTTAGGTCACCAAGAGAGAAAGGTACATGAATTCTGGAAGTTCCAGATCATCCATGTACTCCCTGCAAAGGATACTGCCCTTGAGGAGCTTGCTTAAACTCAGCTAAGGATGGGTATAGTCCTGGAAAGGCCTGGATTACAGCTGGCCTAGAAGCTTTATCCTTAAGGCTGGAAGGGCAGGTGGGGGAAACCTTAGGTTCAGTAAAAAAAGGGGGGGAGGATTTGATTAAGGCTATTTTGTCCTCAGGTTCTAAAGGTTCAGGAGGTGCAATTTTCGGCTCTTGGGTAGAAGATGCCTTAAGAGCCCAAGGTGCTGAGTTTTCCTGTTACTCACATTTACATTTAGAATATAAATAAGAAGTATTTCCCAATGCATAGAAAGTCTGAATGTAGGACAGCACTGACCTTTTCCCCTCCTTTTCATTGTATGTCTCTAGTTGTAAAAGAGGATCATAATTAATACTTACCTCTGTATTCCACTAAGGCTCTTGGGGGTAGGTAGGCCACACACTCATGCAGAGAAATACCAATTGGATCTTTTTCAACATGGAAGGCTCGAACATCTAGTGCCTAAGAATGTGTTCCAAAGGAGAATGGGCTTTGACATTTTGTTGTCCATGCCTATAATGTAAAAGCAAGGCATAAGTATGAAACCTTTTCTGTACCCAGGCATTGAACTAAGGACCGTTTGATGAGCTATGAGTGATATTGAGCTATCTAGTTATACATAAAATGAGTTAAAATAAGGTGTCCTTTTTTTTCCTGTTTGATAGATGTTCCCCACGTGTCTCTTGGGTTGAAACTGCTCCAGGGCAGGTGAATGCCTTCTGGAGAGAATGGACCATAGTTTCTGTCAGCCTATCTACCCTGGAACTGGCACACAATCCTATATTCCCAGATAGCTCATGAGCTTTGTTTCCATAAAGAATGTTTAGCGAAGGAAGCATGACTTTGTAAACATGTATTATAAGGGAGCATACATTAAAAGGTGAGTTGGTGGTAGAGTACTTTTCAGGTTTTTTAGAGTAACTCTCCTCTAGAGATAGATAGAACAACTGACTGGAGGAGCATTACTCCTTAATCTGGGCAAAAGAGTCTCCAGACATTTGTCTCTCACTTAATTATCTAGGTAACCTTTCTTAGTAACAGGACAAGGCTATACTTCATTTAAATTTCTGTATCTTTGAAGCTCACAGGTTAAATTTATAAATTATCATCTAGCAGTCACATTTTAAGTTAGAAAGAGGCACATCAGTCTTCTAGTCACACAGAAAATCCTAGTTACTTTTTTTTTAAATTTTATTTAAGGAGAAAAGAGAAAAAAACAGTGAAAGGGTACAAGTTATACAGATTTACAGAAAAAAAATGAACAGTAGGAAATCACTAGTTAATGGATTACATATTGCCATCTTAGAAATAATTGTTAAAGTCACAAAATTAAAGCTTGTAGAGTGGACATTCCAACAATGATACTGCAAACAGTTCTGTTCAATGATTTAAAACTCTGTGATATCATTTTCTAACTTATACACTTAAATATACATGCAGTTATATAGTTTAGAGCACTTTCTTTTCCTCTCTTTTGTACAATGACTATTACACATTTTGGGTTTCATTGCTCCCACGGTTCTTATTGCTTTTTTGGAAGAGAGTAAAACCAAATGTGACATAACAGAACAGAATCGGTCAAGTCAAAAGGGTGGACATAATAGATAATGTAAAAACATAATACACGGTGATCAACAGTGGTTACCATAATGCCTCCAGCTATCTCTAATTGAATTGCCTATATCATTAGTTATAATACAATTGAACAAAACAGTAAAGAACAAAACCGACAAAAGCAAACCATTGGAGACTTTGTAGGTCTTCAAAAGTAGATAAAAGTCAACGAGAATGGGCGTCATAATGAATCTCATTATCTTCACAGCTGATGCCTAAACGTTCGAACCTGATAATATCCAGCAAAACAGAATAGGGGAACATCAGTCAAAAACAAGATGGTGAGAGTAATACAAGGCTTCAAATTGAGATAATAGAAAGTCAAAGTGGGTTACTATAATATATCCTGCTATTTTTCCCTTTAATTAAATGAATAAAAATAAAAGAGTAAATAATGGAGTGGAGATTGGGATAAAAAAGGGCATAACAGCGAAACAGCGCAGATCAAAACATAAACATTTAAGCAGAATAGTGTTTCACCACCAGATAATTCCAACCCAAAGTAATTACCATATTGACTCTTTCCTTGAAGTCCTTGAGTACAACTTCGTATACGGTAGCATTAAGTTTATCAAAACAATGTAAAACCATTTAAGAGAATGACAGCATTACAGAGTATTTAGAATCGACTAACAGAAAATGAACAATGGTTTCTGTATAATCTCCTTGTCTTTAAAAGGTTTTTGCTTATACTATCGTACATAATAAACTCCAATAAGATACAACCTATTTAGACCATTGGAGACAGAAGAACAAAAGCTAGATGAGACTTTAAAACAAGATGATACTAAATCAGTATTACCTATTAAGATGTCATTTTCTCCAAAATAGCTGTTCCTATCATCCAATCTTCTCTGTCTCATTTCTGTTGAGCTCTTATTCTGTCAGTAGCTGTCAGTTTGTCTTCTTCATTTTGTTCTCTGCTCCATTCGTTGTGGCCTCCCCACCACTATTTCTGGGTTCTTTGTATTTTTTTTTTTTTAGAATATCCTGCAATACTTTCTATAGAGTTGAATTGGTGGTTGCAAATTCCCCCAGTTCCTCTTTATCCTGGAAGCACCTTGTTTTTCCATCAATTTCCAGGGACAGTTGTGCAGGATATCTCAATCTTGGCTGGAGATTATTATCTTTAAAAGTTTGAATTGTTTCCCCCCACGCTCTTCATGATTTGATGGTTTGTGCAGAGAAATCTGCTGTAATTCTGATGGGTGTTCCCTTGTAAGTGGTCTGTTTCTTGTCTCTGACAGCTTTTAATATTCTGTTCTTTTATTGAATTTCTGGAATTTTTATTATATGCCTGGGTGTTGCTCTGTTTGGGTTGTAGGTAGCTGGGGTCCTGTATGCCTCATACATCTGAGTATCTTTACCTTTTGCTAAATTAGGAAAATTCTCCTGGATTATTTCTGTGAGTAGCTTTTGTAGTTCACTTGTTTGTGTCCCTACTTCTTCTTTTATGTTCTTAACCCTTAAGTTATGGATCCTCTTATCATCTTCTTGTCTTTCTATTATTGCTGTTTGTTTCTTTGTTATTTTTAAGAAGTTTTTCATTTCATTCTCCCATATTACAAGCATGCCCTCCAGTTCAGATAGTCTGTCCTTAGTTTCCTTCAAGCTGTTATGCCAGTCTTGGATAGACTTCTTAGTTTCTTGATAGTCCCTTTGAACCTGCTTCACATACTCTATGCTTTCTCTGTTTTCTCCATCAAACAATTCTCCCCTCTTTTTCTGTTCTTCCATTCCACCATCTGTTTTTTCCAGGGTGGTGCTTAGCATTTCTCTAACTATTCTGCATACTTCTAGCTTCAGGTCGTTGATAACTTCATTCCTGAATTGGTCTATGAGGCTCTCTATATGGCGCTTTATGTCTATTGGTGCGGTGTCCGCTATTGCCTGTTTCTCAGAATTGGGGGCCGAGGAGCCGTTCTTGTTGCTGCCTTTTCCCATATTTTCTGTTCCTTATATATGCAAGTTTACCCAGGAGGCCCAGCTTCCCTCCCTGTCAGCCACAGCCTGATCGAATTGTGCTGACTAGGTGTTCCCACCCAACGCAGTGCACCAGGGAGTTACGGACTAGGCAGCCTACATGGGAGTCGCCCCTCCGGGCCACCGTCAGGCTCTGGGATCTGGGTTGGGCCAGCCTACCTAGTCCGCCAGCAGCGTCACGCAGGCCAGGCACTTTTCACCAATCCCGTCCGAGAGGGGAATGTGTGGCTGGAGTCACCACCGCGCCCTGCTCCCGCAGGACTGCCTGGGCCCAGAAAGTCCTCCACTGGAGTCAAACTGTGGTAGAGTGTCAGTTTCTCTCACTCACCTCACCACAAGTCAGTGTACGCCTCCCTGGCCATCCTGTTTTCGACTCCGTTCACAGACTCCCGTTCTCAGAGCTTCTGCGTGTCTCTGTCCTTGCCGAGCCGATGTAGAGGCAGTCAGCCGCAGTGCGCCAGGAAACCAAAATCATGGCTTCCTTTGGCGCGGGGTCTAGACTCCACACCGAGGCTTTTCTGTTCCTGTTTTAGCACCAGGACTGCATTCCAAGTTGGTTTCTCTCAGCCCAGTTTGTTCCTGAGTCAGCAGAGCATATCTCTACCGGCTTATGTCTCCTTAGTCCGCACCATTCCTGACTTCTGAACCAAGCCTTTCAGAGAGCCTCCGTAGTATCTGCTATCTGTCCACCATGTTGTCCCGGAAGTCCTACTTTTTAAAAAATTTTATTTAAAGACAAAAGAAAAAACTTTTATTTAAAGAGAAAAGAAAAAACAGAAAAAGAGTACAATTAATACAGAATTTCAAAAAAATAGAAATCACTAGTTAATAGATTACATATTGTCATCTTATAAATAATTGTTCAAGTCTATTTAGTTTTAATTAACATAGGTAAATCATTTCCCTACTAGCTGCTATGGAATGTAAGCAATCATTGCAAACTACCTCAGTATAATCTCTGAAGGGATGGGTAGTCTAAGTGATCTAAAGATCTATTGAAAAGTTTAGAATGTTTTTAGTCTACTAGCAGAGAAATAAGGATAATAGAAAAGGGGAGATTTTAAGTGGTCATGAGCAAATGTCCTTTGAGGAAATGTTGGGTGCCAACCAGGGTGTTGCTCTGGCCAGGAACCCTCAGTTCTCAGTTTCTATTGCCTCAGATAACCAGAAATCAGTCTCCAAAAAGGAATCCAGCTGCCTGTCTGGTCAACATTCTGTTGAATCCATTGGCCACTGGCTTCAATGGGGATTCACCTAACAGATGCTGGGGAAAGCTAGCCTCTGATTTTGAGGGTGGCAGTTGCTGTAAGGATGATTAGCTGGCACAGTGACCACTGTGTGTCAAAATTCTATAAGGGATAATTAAAAGACTGCAAGATCATTACCTACACATTTATCAATTTATAATAAAGGTTTTTAAGTCCATAATTTGAGAGGTTGGAAAGCCTCCTTATTCTAAATAGGTTTACGTCCCCTATGTGTGCTGCTTTTAAGGATAGCTGCTTCCATTGCCCCATGGAAACTGGTTCTCCCCACTGTGTCTCAGGTTTAATTTCCAAAGGAGATTTGCCCAGAACACTGAGCTGGGACATGGCTCTCATGTGTATTCTCCTGAATAGGCACAATTCTGATGTCTCATCTGACCCAGAGATGGGGTATGTGTCCCTCATCTAAGATGACTTCCCTGTTCTTGGCATTAGCAAATGCTCATTTTCTATGGGCTTAACTCAAAAGGAAAAGGTTGGAATAATCTAGA